GCTGTCAGAAGCAGGCTGTCGGCCGGCCAATGGCCGGCCGCTCGGCCAGCTTCGGCTTTCAGCACGGCTCAGCCGAGCCGTTGCATATGCGTTCGGCTGGACTGAGCCCCTCGGCCATGTTCGGGAGCTGTACGGAACCGAAGGGGTCCTGGGTCCGAAGCTAGCCAAAGGATCGGCCGAAGCTACGGCCAGATCCTTTGACAGCTTCGTGAATAGACCCCATATTTTCTAAATATAAGAGCTATTCGTATTCTTACTTAAATCTTGGTCTCCTTTCTATATTTCTTTCAGATTTTTGCCGTATATGCAGGCAAATATACAGACAGTCACTGCTGCTCTCTGACCTTGTGCAGAAGGACTAATCTTGTTCATGCCCCCCTGTAATTTTCTGCAGGCATCCTATAATGGGTGGGCCTGTTGGGCACCATTCACAGCTCTGCTCTCTCTACACAGTAATGTTGTCACTGCTACTTTCACAAAGTAAAATCTAACTTTACAAAGGGATTTGTTGCACATAAAGCGGGTTTATATCCTCTGTGGTTATTGCAGATTTTTTTTTATAAACATTTTTTAACCTAGAGTTCAACTTTATTCTTAGTTCTATATTATTCCAAAGTAGCCAGATTATCAGGCTTTTTGTACCACTTCTATAAACGGCTTTATGGATATTTTAAGGACCTACCTAGCAAGGCAACCAAGCACACAAAAGGAATGCATTGATAAAAATTTGACCCATTCACTGTATAGTCTGTATGCCCTGAAAGAATTATTTGTTATACTAATACTATGCCCTTTCACAGAGAAGAATTCTTTCAAATAAACCATACAATAGCTGTTGGCTGGCATTGTATTGAATGCACTGTTAATAATGTGGTCCGTATCAGGACATTACTAGGTCAAATGGGAAATAACTGACAGGACAAAGTCAGCAGCCCAGGAGACTGTTTAATGCAATGTAACAAGCAGGAAAACTACCCAAAAAGTCGAATAAGGATTTTGAAAACTAAATCCCAAAGAAATCTGGAACATACTTTCCTGGTTGTTTTCCTCAATATGCTAATCACACAAAAGCCACTTGATTCTTTTGGGTATACCATGCATGCTTAGTTTCAAGAGTCAGATTATGAAAGGTGAATACTAACAGCAGGAAGGGAGACATACAAATCTAGAGACATAAGACAAGAGGTACATAGATAACAGCATGGCAACTGCAACAAAGATGTACAGACAGTGTAATCAAAAGCATTTGGGTCACAAAAGAGAAACAGAAAGCACAACATGTATGTAAAGTAAGTACAGAGGGTATTTTGACTCACAACTCATCTTTGCAGTGGGTCCTATGGCCTGCTGGCTTCTGTGATTTTATGAGGACTCTAGCAGTAAGATGTCATCATCCTTGACTCTGACCTTCTTCATAAGACTTTATGAGAGCTGGACTTTCAAATTATATTATAAAAAAAGGCTAACAAAGACAAGTAGCATCCCCACTAATAGTCATGGTAAAGGGTCTAGTCTATGTGAGGATCATTATTAGATCTCACCTCTAAAAGCACTGAGATATATGAAAAGTAAGCACTTGAATAATCTCAAGAACAGTTTAGGTAGATAAAAAAAAAGATCAGGAGGCCCATGTGTTAACATACAATGACCTCATCAAGATGAAACAAGTGTAGCTTAAAGTACTGTAGATCTAAACCCAAAATACTACAATCATGTAATAATAACACAGTAACATAATAATGTAATTTTAAAAGTTAAATTCAACAGTTTGAA